ACACTCATATGGTATCTCTTATACATTTCCATCATATTCTTTTAAATAAAAATGTGATGAATGATACAAATACAAATTAGAATCAGCACAACGATTAAAACTTTTTCTTTGGTATAACTTTGAGGAATTCGGGTGCCCGTATAAGCCATTCTGGCCAGGAGCCAAAATAAATACTTGAACTGTAGCCACACTTCCTCAATGCAAACCAGGTCAAGCTAGAACGAATGGCTGATGACGAGTACACGATCACTGATCGATTCTCGTTTAGTTTTTTCGAATGAAGCTGAGCTTTCAGATCCAATTTATCGTACCATTTCTGATCATTCCAATCATAAATATCTTTTGCTGGGATATTAATTGCTGATCGAATATGACCATGTATTGCATCCGACGAAATGCCTTCATACTGCTAAACGAGAATAGCAGAAATAATAAATGAACGAAGTGCTGAAGGGATTGAAGTATTATTAATGAAATATTGGTATAAGATATTCCAATATTTTCATTTAGTGAATTATCAGTCTAATACTTACTTCATGATCCTGGCCATCCACCAAGTCATGCGTCCTCAATTCTGTATTTGTGAGAACGTCATCAAATGTACAAATTACCTGTTGTAGACAATCAGTTAATAAGCATGAGTTAAATTTTATAAAAACATATTGAATATTTTAATCTCCGTCATGAGCTTATTTTGTAACTGTTCAGTTTTATCTGCTGATAACTTTACGCAATCGGTACTCATGCTTACTGCGGTATTCCATTCAGCTCGAAAATGACCATTGCGTTGTGGGTATGTTCCATCACCACTCTCCGTTCTATATTGTGCTGAATTTTTCTTCAGCTTTTTCCACTCGTTAATGCCACCGGAATACAATGAAACTTTCTGATGTCCAAAGAGCTGAAGTCGAGGTGTTAATGTGTAGGAATTTAAAGTGATAATTCCTGTTATATGATGAAATTATTATCATCACTATATCATAGCAAATTACTAATCATTTCCTAAAAACAAAACTGGTATTGCTAGTTTTCCTGATTTTAACAATCTCAGATCATAGAACTTTATTACCGTAAAGATCCAGAAAGCGTGCGTAGCCCAGACAACTTCTCCACGATCATAAATAATTATATAGCAATCTGAATCTACGCCTAAACTTCGAGTGTATCGTTGAAATTGAAGGGGATGAATGGGTGCACCGTTTACACTCAAATTTGCAAACTGTAAGAGACGTGCCGATTCAATATGTTCCTCGCGATATTCTCTTCTTAAATGCGATGATTCATATCATGGGGAAGTATGTAAGGATCGGAAATGAGCACATAATCTGGAAGAATCTACATAGCAAGCAGTGAAACTAACTTCGATTCTTCACTTCGATCAGTACCCGCTTCAAATAAGCATATTTTCCGCCTTGTGATTAGCAACGTGAGGAGGAAGGTTGCCACAATTTCGTCTTCCACCTTCGATTTCATTACATTTGTATCGGAACTATTGGGCACATTTTCAGTGGGATGATTATCCTGAACCTGTAAAAGTTTTTAATTCCATATGCTCAAAACAAGCTAGAAAACTAGTTCGATTTTTCATTTGAACGTAGAAAATATAAAAAAAAGATGAAAAGTGTTAGGTCATAGAAATATCAGAAATCATGATTGTTTCAATTTATATAATTATTATCGATATGATCTAGCACGAAATAAAATAGCGATATTAATTTTCAGTTAAATGTTTTCTACCACTTGGAAGATAAAGGAAGCTATTAGTTAATCCTGCAAATTTTGATTTAATTGATGGAATTGAAATAAAATAGTGATTTATGACCATATCAGTTCCTTCATTTCACATTATTTCATCACCTCTCAAATTACATACCTTAGGGATTATAGACTGTGGTATATTTTTGAAATTAACATCTTTTTTTGAATCCCAGGCTAAAAAATAGGCCAGCGATAGAATAAATAGTATGGTTACTGTAGCCAGCAAGCATCCCAACGACATCACCTTTGAATTACTACCACTTCTCTGTAATTTTTGAATTAATTATTTTATCATTTTATTGCTCCCTTTCAAGCATAAATCGTATGGTGTTTGATTTGACACGGGGTGAACACCGAGTCGTTTGCTAGCTCCGCGACAGTTTTTCCCAATGGCAATGACATAACCAATCTGTATGATTCCTCTAATCCTTCGACCAAGTTTAAATTTTAAAAGTTCAAGGCTGCAGTTATTATTGTTGTGCAAATATTTCGGCACATCGATATATTTGATTTCAATCTAATACCAGATATTTATCTTCCTTCTTTAGCACATAGAAAGATCCTGACGTGGTAAAATAACAGATAGGAGTTTCTATTCTGATAAATTTGTGAAGTTTTTATTAAGTTTTGAATAAAACGAACCTGTTTATGCTCTATGACAAGATGCGTTGGAATTATTTTCTGCAACAAATTCATTGGTGGTGGTGGTGGCGGCGTTTGTTTCTCAAATTCAAGTTAAAGTAAACTGGACAAAAATTTTAGTAATTTCGAGAAAAAATTTCACACTCCAAACTTTTCCAAAATTTAATGACTTTGACTTCAAACTAGAAAAATATTCAGATGAAGAAGAATCCAAAAAATGTTTCTATTTATTATAAGTGATAAAAAGCATTTCTTCTGCATTCTTTTTGTGTACGATATCGTACTTTCAAAATTCTATTAAACTTAATTAAGCCTGAGGCAAATTCGATTTCAAAAAGACAGAAACGGAGACCTGGAAAAGATCAGGTGGCCTCGAATAATAATATTCAGGATCCTCATAATCTTTTTGTGACCCTAAGATTCCATTGTTATAATTATTTTGATTGGATAATCCATTTCCAGTGCAATGGAATGTTTGCGCTTTAGCAAACCGTAGATCAGCCATCGGCATTTTCTTTTATCACTGCGCTACGCCTAATGTTCCTCTTGTGACTTTTGCGGTGACATTTGCAAAAAACCATGAAATAATTCAAATAAAGTGCAGAATCAAATGAAAATAATTATTTGATTCCGACAAGTAAAAAAAGTCGTAAATTTTCATCTCTTGTATGAACGCTTTTTGAAACGAATGATTGTTTAACAAATGAACGCAAAGCTGTTCAGAACTTTTGTCGCGTAAGGAAGAATAAATGGGAAAAAAAAGTGTGGATTTAATTATGTTTATCAATTATAAATCATTATTAATTATAAAATGCAACAAGCAAGCAGCATAAATACGAAAGGAAGACAAAAAACTCCGACAATATGCCTGATAATGCATTAGTATATTGTGACCCACAGGTGAAAAAGCAATGAAAAAGTACGGTAACAAAAAGATTTGGGATAACAATATTTCAATGTATAGGATGTATAAAACTTAGAATTTTTTAACTGACGTAAAATTTACAATTCGGTTGATTAAGGTAACCATGGAACTCTAGCAGATTTTGAAAACGTTTATTCTCAGTTATTCATTACCAATACCTTCAATTAACTCGTATAGTTAAATCTTTATCAGAGCAGAAATTGTATGTCTATCTCTAGTAGTTATCTCACATTTCCAAAAAATTTCTCGATTTTGGTATTTGTGTAGAAAAGATTTTGCTTGATAGTTTGAAATGAAGAGATGAAATGTTGAAGATATAGAATTCATTGAAAATGTTGGGGAAAAATTTTTCAGGTAGGTGATTTGTTGTTAATTGCTGGAAACAAAGACTTTGTACTTCGAAATTTCAATGAATTTATTTTGCTTTCAATCCGAAATTCCTTTTTCTCTCTCTCACACTTTGTATTTTTCAGGAAAAATAATTTTATTAATTTTTTTTTGCATGAGAATGGAGAGAAAAATACAAATAGAATTAGAAAAGACAGCTGTTGAAAATCGTTGACAACTTGACTATTTTCATAAATGCAGCATTTCAGCCACAATGTTCATCGTCAAAACGATTTATATGAAATACTTACGGACTTGCTGGCTTCAATTCTAATCGAAAAAGCTTTTGAAACTTTGCCAAATATTTTTTTCTGATAAAGTCAACGCTCATAAGGTTTGTTTATTTTGGGATATTGCGGTATGTCTAAAAAGATTTTTATGGTCGCAAGAACATTTAAACTGAAAGGTTTTGATCTCTAATTTGTGTATGCTTTTATAGCTCTGTAATATCGAAACAATTCCTTTTGTTTTTTTTTTAAAAACAGTTTCCTTTGGAGATGTAGCAGCAGGAACTAATACTGGTACTAAAATTCGAGATTTCAAGTGAAGAATGAATGGGAGAACTGCGCCCACTGACCATCTGTTTGCGAAAATGGAAAAATTATTTCACAATAATACCAAAAAAGCGGCAAATGTCTCTCGTGGCTTTCTTCATACTCTCCTGAGGAATTTGAGAGCATAAAATGCACAAAAACTGAACAAAGTCTTTGCATCTGGAATAATGTTGGTGCAGTGAAAATCATTCGAAGACTTCTTTTGGAAGGGATCTCAATTACTGATAATAAAGCGGAAGCAGAAGAAAGTAAACGAATAGAATTGAATTCGATAGGTAAAACGTATATGATTGAATGCGCAAATAGCATGATATCATGGATAAATCTGACATTTTTGGAATAGTTAGTAAAAGAGATTCAATTTATTTTAGATTTATATAGAAATATGCCCTTATAAAAAGTTCGACATAAAAGAAAAAAACTGGTCGCAATTTGTAAATAGTGTAATGGTCTGACACGGTGCCGCATATCTCTCAAAGAATTTGCGGTCAGTCGAATTGAAATGTCACAGTAAAATCATACTGTGACAAAGAAAGCATGGTGGTGTGGTCAGGAAACATTAATCAAAAAAAAAAAACATTAATCAATGAATTTCCTTGTCCACAAGACATTTTCAACGATGGTCAATTATTTCCAGTGCGCCACACTTCCTTAATTTGACAATACATTATTTGTACAGTGAGCATGACAAACTGGATGGAGTGCAGCACATGCAGGCTGTAACTATTTTAAAGTATATTTTTTTCATCGATAAAGAAATGAGAATATTTCATATAAATAAATTCTAAATCATTAACGAATGAAAATTCAGTGAAATTAGAATTGCAATCCTTAATAGTTATAAATATAGCAAAAAATTTCAACCTTTTTTAACAGAGATAATAGTAACTCTTTCATTTTCATTGAATAAAAAAAAGAGAGGAGAATAAAGGCGAAGAATGGCGGAACATGCCGAAATACCTTTGAAGGTCAAAAGCAACTATGTCTAATATTTCTCTGCAGAGGGAAAGGGAAGGAACGAATGATAGGTTTTGCAATTTTTGCAAATATTTTATATCACAGAAAAAATCGACAATAATGACTTAGTATGGTTTTTTTTTCCGGTTTAGTAAATTACCGCACTCGTAAAAAATGCACAATAACTGGACAATTATCATATTATTTTGCATATCCTACAGCCGGAGTGCTTAATTGCACACATTATTCATTTTTTCTATATTATGCTTTCGCTGTATTGGGAACTCTAAAAACGGAAAAACGGAAATTTGGAGATAGGAAAGGCGAGGGAAGCAAACGATGGAAGACAAATAAGTTGGTAACGAAGATATTTAATCACTGATCATTTATCAGTCCAGTGTATGGTAAGTAAATCACGATAAATTATAATTGAAGCATTTGTACACTTAAAACTTTCGACATTTAAAAATTTCTTATAGTTGTTATCTTGTCTTCAACCTTCTAATCTTTAACATTGCTGTTTACTTGGTTATCCATTTATCTTCTAACAAATTCATTGGAAGAAGTAAACAACTTTTTATTTTCAAATGCTTCGATAGTGCCATATCCTTTCTGAAAACCATTGATGGATACCACCTTTGTGGCAGAGCAAATTTGAGATCACCGCTGAACTTTGAAGCGTATTAAATAGTCCAACAGATTGATTCTTCAGAAATTCGAAACCGAGAGATTTGCTTAACAGTTAAGGCCAATATAAATGAATCAGAAAAATATGTTGGGAAAGTAATGAGTTGGAGACACTTTGTCTATAAATTCTTTTCATCGTCCTTTTCAAATTCCTTTTTATTTCTATTTTTATCATAAATGGCATGGTGTGTTTTGAAGATATTTACTTACTGGTTATTTTATTAGTCCAGTGTATGGCAAGTAAATTGGTGGGAACCGAAAGCAAGATGTTCAGTGGATTTTGCTGAGAACAGAGTCAGGCTATCATATTCCAGTTAAATCTATAATCCGCTATACTTCTGAAAATCCAAAACTATCCAAAGCTCTAGATCTGCTTCAGTTGATAGCAAATAGTGACTTCTTGATAATTATTAATCAAATTTATCACAATTGAATCAGTTTCCAAATTCTATTTTTTGAATTATTGGAGACATATGTCCTGTATAGCTTTAGTTTTGCATGATACTACTACTCAAAACAATGATACAGAAATGAACTCTCTAATACCATTTTAAGTTGTATTCCTTCGAGATAAAACTAAAAATTTCTCATTTTCCATGGAATTATTCAGCTTAGGATCCAAAAAAATATTTTACCAGTTAACAAAAATGATTGAGAACTGTCTCGATAAATATATGGAACAGAATTTTAAGCAAAACTTTGAGATTTCACTAACGGTAATTCTGAAAAAAACTGTGATATTGTTATATTGTGACTAGTAAACTGAAATAAATTAGTATTTGAATCACAAGTACAATATATAAGCGTAAGTTTGATAATTTATACAATAAATTTAATTCTGGTCACTAAAAACATCGCGTTTTTTAAAACAATAACCTATATTTTTAAAAAAATGGGTTTGCAAAAAATGAGCTACTAAAATTTAACTTTGTAATGACCGAAACTGGACAATTAAGTAATCACGCTTTAAAAGAATTAGTGAATTTAGTGAATGTAGTAGCATTTTCTGTAACCTAATTGCTTCAGTTTAATAACTTTTCAAGCAAATTTATTGCACTTAATTTTTGATGCAAAAAAAAGCAGATTGTTTATTAAAAAAAATGAAAACCAATCGATATTCAGCAATAAAATAATCCACTTTCGTGGAGAAGTTTAAGTATGCTTAACAATACTTTGAAACATGCCAACTCGCTTCAAATTTTTTTCAATCACCATAACGATGACACTACCTAAAATCATTTGAACCTGATTGGTATCAGTGGCACAAGTTTGATGCACATAAATCACTTTTTCCGGATTAGCATTTAATGCTTCAAAACTTTCCCTTATAAAAGCTATCGAGTCCTCATATGTTTCAGGACCTGAAAAGTATGTTGAGCTTGCATAATTTTTTTCTGAAATACTAGAATTCAAGTATTGAAACTTCCAAAAAGCAAGAGATGCGTCTTACAAAAACAATAAATACAAAAAACACATCGTTGAATAATTTTGTATTTTTGCAACTTTATAATTGTTTGTAAAAAGACTTTTTAATTTGCTTTTTTTTTTAATCTTTGTAAAAGTTTAAATTTATTTCGAATTCAAAATAGCAAATAACAACATCATTTTAATTCGTCACGAAAATTTTCAAAAATTATGAGAGTACCAAAAATGTTTGCTAACTTAAGCAAGAATAATATTACTCTTTGATGAGCAAGTAAAAATTTGAGGCGCTTAAAATAGATGGAAGAGAAAAGCACGTTTTATGTGCCTGATAACTGTGCAACTGACCGTTATACTGAGGAAAGGCTATCTTGATTGATTGCGATTTGAGTTTTTCAACAAACAAATCTTTTTTATTCAAGAATAAAATAATGGAAGTATTAATAAACCATCGACTGTTGCATATCGTTTCAAATAAAAGCATGCTTTCTACCATACGATTCTGAAGCCAAGTAGAATATTTATATGCTGATAGTATCACAGATAGATAAGATGAACTCAGTATGAACTAACAGTAGTATCATCTTCGAATAAAACTTCGGCATATTCGCTAATAGCTGCAACATATATAACAGCGTTGACATCATCAAAACAATGAATCCACTTCTTCCGCTCTGACCGTTGTCCGCCCACTTCAAATACTCTAAATTGTACCTCAACAAAGTACTTTTTGAAAGAAATATGCACTGAATTTTTGCTTTTTTTAATGAACCACTCGTTTGAGATATCAGTAATTGTATTGTAAAAGGATTTTAAGCCTTTTCAATTTTCAATGCTTAGATTGGCTGTTGTGACAAGTTCAATTGATTGAATTGATATCCAATTCAAATTTAACCAGGAAGGTACTTATGCTATGATGTGAAATCCGTAAAGTAATGTCTTCTACTTGCAAATGCAAACCTGAATCGGATATTTCTAATAATAAAATGAATTCCCACAATTCCAGTCGTTTTTATTCTGGTTAACAGTATATCTTGCTCACTCGGTTCATAATCTACCGCTGCTATCCGATCAATATTGTCCAAGAAACTGCAATATGATTATTCTTTTTTCCTCTTCATCACCTGCACATTTATCAAATTTTCACCAAAGGCACATTGATTTATGGCAATTCAGAACTGAATGTCATATTCAACTGTATATTTATTTGTAAATTTTTCATTACTTCTTCCACTCACTGAAATCATAAAGGTGATGTTACATTCGGAAAGTGCGAATGAATTGTTCCAGCCTTCTTTAGTTTGGTTGCATTTCATCATAAATTAATGGTATGCAGAATGTCACATGCAAATATTTATCTAATCATCCTAATAATTTATTTTATAACGATGATTCAATTGGGAGACCTTTCAGATTCATTATTTAGTGATTGCTAAGGCATGCGTTAATCAGTTTGTTTAACAACATTCCTGATTTGCAAACTTTGGCTTTAATTAAATATGTTATTACTATTATGGTGCATTCATAGAATCAGTCAAATGCTTCGATAGGCTACTTGAAACAAATGGAAGCTCAACGAATTCAGGTATTTGTTTTTCAGTTATCCTGTCAACTTTTCATGTTCCTTACTTCATTATCATGTCGTTCACTTTTTATTAGTTACATGTTCATTTGCTGATTAATTTGTTAAGATCTATATCATGTATATTATTCAATTTTAAGCAATTTAGTTAACACATTTTAATACATGAAAGCTAATTTTAACAACTGCTAGTAACTGCCACCGCATGCGTCAACTTCATCCTTTTTTTTTGTCTGATTGTTGCAGGATTGTTGTATTAGATTGTTGCATTATCTGATTGTTGTATTAGTAATTTTCCAAAATGGAATATATAAGCATTTCTATGTTAGGATAGAAACATGAAATCCTATGAATGACTGCAATGGTTTAGAGGTCGTTTTATGAGTCGAAAATTGAGGAAATTATAAAAATTCTGTTTGATGCTAACAAATCTTCAATTCAAGTATTTATAATTCACAAATTTAAATTTTATAATTACTAAAATTGCAAAAAATTAAACCGAACTGTTTGGCAGACTCATGCAAATGAAAATCATTTCGCCTTTCACAAATATCCTGAATGGCAGGATCATGCCATAGATTCTTAATTGCAGTTGCAATCTCATTAGTTATTGATTTTAATTCTGTGTTAATCGCTTGAGCAATGACAGCTGAATTAGTCTGCAGAAAATTACTCATTATTGCTAAATAAATTACATATATTGAATGTGATCATTGATCAACTCCTCTTTCTATTGTCCATGCCAGCAAGACATGAATATTATTAAATGAAAATGCAAAATAAACGATTTCTTGGATTACTGAAAGATTCTACTGATTTTGAGCAAAAAGAGAACGGAAAGGTAAAGGAAGAGAGAGGAAGAATGAGGTAAACAAAAGTTTCTGATGGCGAAATTGTCAAGCCAATGAAATCATGCAGAAAATATTATTCAATTATTTAATATCCGGGCAATAAAGAATGACAGTGTCTTACAGCGTCTGATAATAACCTTTTTGGCTGGATCGCTGAATTTAACGCCGTAATTTTTCATAGCTCGTAAGATAACATCCATTGCACCGATTACATTCTCGAATACAACCAAACGTTGTTTCATCAGTTCATCCTGCGTAAAGCCACTACTGTGCAAAATCCTAAAAAAGGTACTGAGCGTAGCATTAAACTGATTACACCTGCTTTCGTGATATATTGAATCTGCTTATGTGATCGGCCCAATGCAACCATGTATTCATACGACCAGCGTAAATGATCGAATAGCTGTGATAGATTATAAATTTGATCGATTAGATGTTTATCAACAAGAGTATATACAAGGAATATCAACTTCTAAATGAAGAGAATTTGAAAAATATTTTTAAACTCATCACAAACCTCATTTGCTTTAGCAATGTGCTCTTGCCAGAATCACCAGCACCTAAAAACATTTTTGAAATGAATTTTATTTCAATATTTATGAAAGTATTGTCTACAAGAAATTTATCGAAGTCTTAGCAACACCTGTCCTTCACTTCCTCTCTCTCTTTCTTGGTCCAGAGGAATAGTATTATGTGATTTCAGATTACTTGTAAATCAGTTCTTTGAATTTTAGAAGTGAAACCGAGTATTAAGAGGATCCATTTACCTATTTCATTAGGTGAGCATTCGAGAAATAAAATTAATAAGTTCTACTGAAACATCGAATAGATAGGTTGTTTTATAGGGAACATCTATTATCATTTATATTTATAGCGAATGTGAACTAACCAAGTAATAACAGTTTAATAGCGTTGGCATTTTCGATCGCACATTCAACGATTTCACGATCAATCACTTTACTTCTTTCCTTCAGTTTCTTTACTTCTTCACTTTGACAAAGGCCCATTACATCAATATTTCTTTCTTTCTCTAAGAAATTTAAGCAACTTAAGCATGCTGAAGTTTCGAAATTATTGCCCTTTATTAATAAAAAGATGAACGAAGGATATATATACGATCTTTAGTTAACGCTGTCGTAAGGTGATTACAAGGCTATAAGATGACTAGAAATTCCCGAGAAGCTGGAACTGTGAATTATTATTAGTAGAAATAAATCAGCAGGAAAAAAAAGCATGCAAATGTTCGGAAAATAAAAGATTTCAAATCTTAGTTTGCAGAAAGTTTCCATACGTTCCTGCCAATCTTATTTTCTAGATTCTTTAACTTTTAACTTGCCATTTTCTCCCTATTGTCTGATAATGACCGAATTAAGTGCAACAAATTCCTGATCTTATGCAAGAGTTCAAATTTTTTTTAGAGAAATAGTGTTGGCTACCAATAGTTGGAGGTCGGAGAAAATGATATATTTCTGTCCTAAGTTTCTCGAAAAACTTTTGCATATTTTTTTTGGACTCTTCCTATCTTTCATATCAAAAATATAATCAATTACATTCAGGATAGTCTGGTAAATGATTACAACTGAAGAGAACTGAAGTTTCAGATTGATCGCACTTAAAGATTACACAATGACATCTTTCCGAGAGGATTATTTATAATTCTTGGCAATAAGTTATGCATCTAACTTTCTATCACTTACTCATTATTATTACTGCACTCTTAGTTCAAAACTGTTTTAGCTTTTAAAAGATGTATCTTTGTGCAAGAATTACAATGACACAATTAGAATCCTTCCCTTCCTGTAGATATAAATTTCTGGCTGTAAGACTCAATCTGTAAACTTAACACGTTTTTCAATTGATAAATAAGGATATTATAGAATATTCTTCTAATTGAATGAATGTTTTTTTCCACCTGTATGTGTGGATGTCTGCGTGTTCAGTTTAATCGTAAAACAGTATACTTGCTTTTCTATAACTGCATCATTGACATCTAGCAATTTGTACATTTCTTGTTGAAAATAAGTGCCTAACCAAGCCTAGGCTAATAGTTTAAATCTGAAGAATTCAATAAACATCTCACGTTTATTACATATTTTTTAAATATTTCTTTCTTTTCCTTATTTCAATCCACAAACTGAATAAAGTTAATATCAATAAATAAAATTGCAACAGGATTATGCCAAGAACTGAGCGAAATTATTATTTGTACCAAACACGCCAAAATCTTCCACACTAGATTACAGTCATTTACCTATAAAATACGTGCAAAAAAAAAAGAAATAAAGAAAGAAATAAATTCGAATTACAGCTATTATACTAATTTTAGTTTCATTACTGAAATTATTTCTGCATCAATGGCAATGGTTACACTCTTTGATGCTTAGCAATTCTAAATTAATTTTACTTGCTAATTTTTTTCAATAATTTCACTGAGTTTTCCGAATTACAGACCTTAATCTTCACCGAGAGATATTGCAAAAAAAGGGTGACGACTGGCATAAATTCGATAGCATTATGAATTTCATGTTTAGAACAACAAAATTAAAGGATAACTAACCTGGTGAAGCAAAATATGCTCATAAATGCACAACATACGACGATAATTTCATGGAGAACTCGGTTATCGTTTGGTTTCTTGCAAATTTTAAAACATGATAAGAAATTATGTACTTTTGTCCTGTGGTAAGAAGATTTTTCTAAAAATAAAGAGGACCGTATAAGTGACAATTTCAAAAGTAATAAATATTCTCGAAAACATTCAATAAACAAATTTTAAATAAATGAATTGATTCTACTACAAACACCGTGTGTAACTAAGAAAGCTTTATTTCCAATTTCAGAAATTTTAGTTGACAAGGGTTTTTTACGTTTTTTGTGAGTAATCCATATTTTTGCATAAATCTGGAAATACGGAAAACCACATGAACTGAAGGTAAATTATTTTACCCTAAAAAAGCATGAAACACTCTTCGTATCAATTTATCGACAATGTAATTATGGTGTCGTTCTGGAGTAAAATTAATTTCTTATTTCAGTGATATTGGCATAAATTTGAATCGTTAAATATTTCGGGATGAGATATTCCTTCCTTAAGGACGATATTCATTGAGGTCAGCGTTGCAGTCGCTTGAAATTCTTCAGCAAGCAGGAGAAAGGGCATTGTATGAAATGATAAACAATTTTTAGAGGAAAAACATTCCAAGGGTAATTTTCATAGAAAATTAGTTCAGAAGTGCAAGCTGAAGGTTCTACAACAAGCGGAATTAGTTGTCAACAATAACTGTTGCACACTTAAATGTGCGCATACGTGTATGATTTGTATGCTTAATGAGCAACTTTGCCATTAATTTATATACAGGTGAGTAGCTCTCTATCAGTGCCACTTATGTACAAATAACAAATATGACTGATTAATACTACTTATTAGTTATATTATGAAGGAATGGGACGATTGCTTTTCTCACCACGTTTAAAGCAAAACTGGGAAGTTTTGTTCCTGAGAAAGTCTTTATGCCTTACTAATGCAAGTGATATTCTGTTGAAATTGTTTGGATTGGAAGGAGAAATAATTTGTCATCTATAGCCTTAGCTGATAGCTACTGATAGATAACTTTGTAAAAGTTAGGAAATAGCGAACAGAATCAATCTGAACTTAATTCCGCTCTCCGAGAAAAAATTAGCTATGCGAAGATTCAAACAATATTGGAATATCCCAAGGAAACATTTAACAGGCTTATCTTGCTTGAAAGGCACTTTCGAGGAGGAAAAAAGTTAATTAATTGGATTTGCTTTTCCGAGGAATGACTGCCATTAATTAATACGCTATGAAAAGCAAACTGAGCTCTGCCGATTCTCTCACATCAAATTGAATTGAATGAAGGGCAGATTAATACAAAGTATAATTACAAAAGGTTACTTTTTTTTTACTACCCCAATGATAACTTGATATTTAGATATGTCGTTGCTGAGCGCATGACATTTCCCTCTATGTAGCTTTTCTAATTCCTTATGCCGAACATTTTCATTAATGTTCATTCGGTCCAGTGGGATACCGCATTTTCATATTTGATACAAACCATACTTTTTATTGTTCGGTAGTACATTGGGCAGCGGAGAGAATGGAATAGTTTTGTTTGTTTTTTTCTTTTTTGATCTTTGTCGCGTGTCGCAATACTGTTGCTGTACATTACTAACTGAAGGTAGGTTGTGTCTTTTACAGGAGTAAAAGATAATTTTCAGAATTACCATGAAACTCAGATGCTTCTGTTTTCAATGAACTAATCGCTGATGACGAAAATATTCTCTGTATTCCAAACACTACGTAAATATAGCGTTGGGCAACGGACCGCATTGGGACTAATGAAAAGTTTGGACGATAGTGGAGCTAATGTCATATCTGTGAATACTGGAACGGATTCGAAAAGTATTATACAGCTGAGGGACGTTGGTGGTAAGAAAATATTTTTTTTTCTTTTCGAACTCTAAATGTTGTATGATAAGT